GACTTTGAAGGGATTGGTAATTTGAAAAATCATTAGAAAGCCATGCAAGAAAAAGTGACGTAAATTTTAAAAGGATATATAAAAAAGATTTAATATATTAAGAAATCTGAACACCTACATATAACTGAAATCAGAAAGAAAAGATAAATAGACACAGTGAGAAAGAAAAGTTTAAGTAGTGGCATTTATAAAACATAGATGAGAAATTATGAACTTTACGTTATATTGTTTTTAATGAAAAAAGATTTACGCTTCATCTTGGACATGTGTATGGAGGACCGCCTCCTGTGGTAGAATGTGTTTTCCTAGAATTTAACCTTAGGAGTCTAACAACCTGCTGCTCACAAATATGTTTATATATAAATATAATCCAAATATATTACTGATTTTTAAATAATTTTCCCATAATTTTTATAATGCCTATAATCTTAATTAACTAAGAACAGAAGGAAGAGACAAAAATAGAATGGACTCTTCTGTAGAACATGCTTTTTTGATTGAACAGTTGTAGCTGGAAATTTTACTGTCTGTTCCTCTACACTGTTTAAAAATACAAATATGTATTAATTCTTTTGACTAGCATTTTTAAAATAAAGTGTCTGAAATAATAAAAAGTTATGATTTTTAAATTTTATTTTTTCTTAGATTTCACAGGTTGCTTTCTTGGGAAATTGTATTCCACTGGGATGAAATTTTTATCCTGGTTCCCACAGAAGCAAGAGCTGGGAGCTCCCTGATTCTCAATGTGTCAGAAAAACTAAGTGCTTTTCTGGCAGAAGTCTCAGAAGGCCTTCCTATGCCACCAGAAGTAGCATATTATAAGGTTTGTAAAATTACCAATGAAATAAAATAAAATCAAGATTATTAAAGAAAATATTTTTCTAAGGTGGAAAGAAAAGATATTTGAGTCCAATAGTTTATCTACTTTCAAAAATTCTCTCCAATTACGCTACTTGTTGCTGCCTACAAAGAAATATTCAATTCCATTATCACTGCCATGTTTATATCAAGTTTATTTTATTGTTTTCAAACTTAACTGTTTCTAAGTACTGTTTTATTACTGCTAGAAGTTTTTGCAGGACATTTTATTTCAGATTTCCAAACAAGTTCTATCATTAACAAATATTTATTGTTTGACCCTTAGATTTCAAAAATAACAAGTTTTTTCTTCCTCCTTACCAATGCCTGTTTCAATTATAAAAATTATGCAGAGACCCCACTTTGATTTTCCCCTCCTGGCAGGTGTAGGTTTTGACACAGGAATCACTCATTGTCAATGCTCCTGCTAAGGCCACCTTATCTGTCATAGTTGGTTATTTCCTGACAAGGTCTGTGATCACCACGTAAAAAATTTTATCCAGGGTGCTGACCTTCACTTTCACATTTTACTGCTTCTGTCTGTCAGCTGCAGTTTGGCTGAGTATTTATTTAGTCAAGAAATTGATTCTAATCTCAGGTGGAGAATGCTCAGAAGACTTTACTGCCTATTGACCTTAGAGCAACTCATAATGCATGTCCCCAGAGCTGGCCACTCTGATGGCATGCTTAGAGATTCATGTACACATTTATCAATCACCCATATTGATATTGTGATATCTATAGTGGGGCCAGTGGGCAGTAAAGAGGAGTGTTTTGAAAAGACACTGAAGATTAGGCAGGTGATGCTGAACAAAGGGGAAAAAGAGGAAAACTAAGCATACAGAGGCTTAAATAACACACCTAGGCTTCCCATAGTGATGAAGTCTTAAAAGAAGAAACATTCAGCAAGGAAAATCTGTAGTTTTCAGGGGACTTGTCTGCTCAGTCTTTAAGTTTTAAAAATCCATATGGAAGGATTATTAAACTAATAAAAAACATAAACCTGTAGGAGATAATGATGATTAAAACAATATTTTCTGCACCTTCAGAAGCAAAATTTAAACAAGCCAAATTTATTGTAAATTATGTATCCTGCAGTTCAGTCTTGTAACTGCTGTTTTTATTAAGTCCCAAAAAAAATATATGACAATGTTGGAATGAGTCTAGTTAAAATCAGTGGGAGCCACCTCAGTCATCTTCTTGCTTTAGGTGCCTTTCTGTCATAAAAATGACAAGATGACGTAAACCACAGCCAGTAGTCTTGATCTTGGCTATTATACACATGTATAAAAATGTATTTCAATAGTAGAGATTAGTAATCACATCACACAGTGCTTCTCCTTTTTCCAGGTCTTTACAGTGTGTTACTGTCTGCTAGACATGTCCTTAGTGATGTTCCTGGAGACAGAATCTGTTTGAATGTAGTAACATCAACTCTGACAAAGAAATGCACTTCAGATACATAAGATGTGTATGTATGGATAACCCACAGCAACAGTACTTTTTCCTAAAGTACTGTGATAACTTTTGTGATTTGGGCTGAAATTTTAAAAGTTTGTGTCTTTGCAAAGTCTTCTATATTTCTAATATTATGACTAGTCAGCATTTTCAAACTGTTTCCTCTTTTTTCTCTACATTTGTCATAACTGAAGATGTAGAAACTACATCAGCCTGCATGCAGCAAGCTGAGATTTTCATACTTCATAAAGATACATGCCAGAACATAAAATGAGGCTACTGAGGCATAAGAAAAAGGTATGATATTTTTATGACCTACTCAGCTCCAATATTGTAATTTCTATAATCACCAGGATTTTAACCAGGTATATGGACCAAAAAAACCATTAACTATATTAGAAAAATACTTTTTTTGTTTCTCAACCCCCAAAATACATAAGAAAGCTTTAAACTTATTTCTAAGTTCTTCCTTAAAGAAAGGATATAATTTTTTTTGTCTTTTTGTAGAGAAGATTGCATTTAGATACACAGTGTAATATGGTATAAATAACTCATCTGAAAATTTCTGCTATAACACATTTCAATGGTTTCAGCAATAGCTCATAGATTAAACAATGCAGAAGAAGTTCAAAGGCTTATGGCTGTCCTAAGGAGTTAGTAGTCTAAGAAAGAGAATAACTTACTAAAAAAAAAATATAGTGGGGAAAAAGAAACCATTGAGTTTATACTGACAAACATGAAAAACAATAGTCATGGAACAGTGTGCAACCTCCATGCTGTCATAACTAAGAAATTCAGGCTCTTTTTTCCCAATCTTCTCTCTGCCTATCATAAGAAATTTTGATGCTGGTTAAATTAAATAAAGCACAGAGGGGAGAGGAGCTGAAATATGAATGCTTAAGAGTTTGATAGTTGTGCACTGAAATGATTTTATAACTTCCCTGCAGATCAGGTTCTTCTATTTGTAGATGTCCACTTTAAAACAGAGTAACAGACAGGACTCTTGGCCTAGAGAGGAACACAACTAGTTTGTGCAATGACTGAGTGAGAACTGATGAAAGCGGTGTATATACAAGTTCTCTCCTGTAGCATCAAGTAACCAAATCCACAGGAGCTTTGACAGGGCATATCTGATATTGTCTTCAGTTTCTCTCTGGCAGTGTTTACTGAGAATGCAGACTGTAACATTTTAGCTGTAGAAATACAATGACATTGCAGAAATACAATGACTGATAATAGTGGAGCTCAATGTGCCTGCAACTGTTCACTTTTTAAAAGAAGCCTTAATTTTTTTGATTCCCAGATACTAAATGCATCTATTTTCAGTGTCAAACCTTTAAAAGACAAAGCTTGTAGTACTTTAGCTTAATGTTCTGTATTAATCTATTAATTGGTCATAACTGTACAACAAGGAAATTATTTGCTCTGTATAAAAGTGGAACAAATGCACTACTTTACTAAGATGGTATGAGGTTCAGAAATAGTTATGAAATATATTATGACCAATCCAAGTTAAATCTGAAAAATCTTATCATGCAAGTTGCTTAGCTTTCTTTGCAGATGTCAGAAATGGAAACTCTGCTTGGCTGGAGTTGCTGTTGCTGTGTTTGTTTGGGGTCTTTTTGGTGCAAAACAGCAAAATTTCCTGGATTCTCCTGAAACATCACTCCCAAATCTGCTTAATTTTTTTAAAGATGCTTTACTTTAAAATAAATAAGTAAATATTTGCAACTTCTAGAATGAAGAAACTAAATGTATTCCACTCAGTAAAATCTCAGGAAGGAGATAAAAGTAAAATAGCTACAAGTGAACCCAGGAGAGGAGGAACTATGGCAGGAATTTCTCCCATCTGCTCATTTTGGTGCACTTGAATATTTATTTCTCTTTCTGCCAAGTGCAGATTATGAGAGGTTTAGATTTTTATCTTACTTGAAAACTTTGGCAAATATGAGCCAAAATATCTCAAGTCAGGAGCATGATTAAGAAGTAGTCTCTTAGCCAAAAGAAATCTTAAAAGGCTGCCTTCTTATTGACTTTCTTAAGTATCTATTTAGAAAATACTATAGTCTGAACATCCCAAACATTAGTGTGGGTACATTAAAATCCTCGACCCACTTGTAATTTCTGAATAAAGCCACTAAACCAATTTTTTAATTAGTTCAGTAGGACAGATGTCTAAAACTTGTTCTTGAGGCTCACCAGGTACTGCATCTGCCCTCCCTCCAGGTATGTCAAATAGCTAAGTCAGGTAGGAACTGCAGTTGTGTTGGAAAGAGGAGACTTTGGTGATTGTAACAGCCCAAGAAATTATAGATCCTTTTTTTTATGCATTTGATATCTAAAGTAATATCAATAAGAATAATATTATCTTTGTATATAGCTGCAGCTTCCCAATTTGCTGATTATTTTGAAGTTTCTTTAAAAGTTTGTAGCTTGGTAGTCATACACATAACTTGAAAAACTAATCTAAGTCTATCATGTATCACTCTTGTTTCAGTTCCTAACCTCTTCTAAGGAAAAGGAGTCAGGACATTCTCTGCAGTTATGAACACCAGCAGTATCATATCAAATCATTTGCTTTGTGATAGAAACCAGCCTTGTTCCTCATAACATAGGTGACTAATCAAGAATTTGACTATTGCAGAGTTTGGTTTTATGGTGTGTTTAGCTCTTAGTTAGTAAAAATTAAGTAAATTAAGTCTTGAAGCTTCCAAAAGAAGTCTTTTTTTTTTTTTCTTTTTTTCAAATAACTCAGATCCTCTACAGATTAGTAAGAGTATTTAAAACATTTACAGTTCAGAATAACCCAGGATATTTCCAAATAAGCAATCTCAAAAGTAAATTTGATTAATTATAAGAGGTTAACAGAGAATTTTTGGAAAATAACTTGTAGTGTTCAGTTAAAAGACAGCTGTGGGATTATCTGTACTTTGATGGTGATAATTATTCACCTGAATACACAGAAAATATAGGTTCAGCACTGTGAGAAGTCTCAACCATAAATGCCTTTATTTCTCACTTTTGTAAATGGATAGCACTTAAAATGCCATTATGGTTGCTAGGTTCCTTCTCAAAAGACATGTAATCATTAAAAAGTGTAATATAAATAAGAGAACAGATATTCTGCAATGCAATAGGAACCCATAAATGCTTGTGCTATTTCTTTTGCTTGATGTTTATTTTGAAGACATGCTGAAATGCTTTTGTCATATTCTTTTTGGTTTTTTTTTTATTGTGTCTTATGTTTCCCTACAGTCAAATTATTAGTCTTATTTAATAATTTTCTTTAACTTTAGATAAACCTTCTCTGAAGCCCCAAATACCCATGAGGTGCTGGTCCCAGCTTTAATCCTGGACCAACAGTTCCCTGTCTATGTAGGGGCTACTCACAGGATTCCACCAGCAGGTAGCACTTACTAATTTAATGGTAAGAGACAGATTTTATTCATTTTCACACCTAATGCTGAATAGGTAATTTTTTTTATTATTCTGTTTAAACAGTCAAACACACCACAGTGGCTTAATTTTGTTGATTTACAAGAAAAAAAAAAAACCTCAGAGCAAATCAAGACAAAAGCACATGTAAGCTTAGAATTTCAGGTTAGGACTTGAAATTTCTGAATTTTGATTCAATTCAAGGTTTAGAGATCTATATAAGATCAAATATTTTTGGGGATTTAGATAAATTTTAACTACTGAGAAGAATCCCAGCCTGATTTTTTTCTGATGGAACATTGGGCAATGCTGGTTTGCTGTTTCTTGATGAAGAATGGGTTTTGTTGTTCATTTTTTTTTTAAATCAAATAACACTGAGAAAAGGAAATGTGAACATAGATAAAAAAATGGTGCAAGTGAAACTTATTTCTCTGCCCTTGAAATAGACTACAGTTTCCTCAGGGGGAAAAAAAAATCTATACATTTAGAGAACTGAATGTTTAATGTTAAGTTCTTTACATTTAACTTATTTCAATACGAAAATTGATTTCTGGTTTTAAGAGACAAAACTAACCTAGTTAGGAGAATTGACAAAGCCTGTCTTACTGCATTACTGTGGCTGAGTACAGCTGAATTGTTTCACAGCTTAGCTCTGCTAAGCACTGCCAGCTTCTATCACTGGCAATTTTTCTTTTGGGCATTCAGAAATCTATGTGATTCCCCAAGGAACCATGCTGACCCAACTGTTTCTGCAGTTGCTGCTTCAGAATAGCTCTATTAGAGGCTTAGACTGGTGCTGACTGTTGGGAAGGTGATCTCTATCTATATATCTTATGCTCTTTAACAATTGTAGGAGGCAGTAGACCCCTTAGTCTTTAAACTAGAAAAATCCCAGAAGAGCTGTTAACAGGTCTGAAGCCTTGAATTATGAGTGCTCTATCAGAAGATTACATCTTCCTAGATAACAGAACAAAGCCTAGTCAATTCTGGCTACTATTAGTGTTAGAGAAATATATCTCCTTTAAATGCTGCTCATATAAAAACATTTTAACATAATATTAGAAGTGCTTTCAGAATATTGTTTCAAAGTTCAGAAGTTCTGGAATTCATTGGTGAGCTATGAAATGGTATCATGCAATAGAATGCTTGATAGAAAATCAAACTCAAGAAACTATACACAGAGCTGTAGTTTTCTAGACAGGTTGTTGGGGGGCATTACCTGTGTGGGGGTTTTTTCCTCCATCTCAATCACCTCCTCATTTACTATGTATTACCAAAACTTGTCTTAAAAAAATACATTGTCTATGCATGATTTCTGATGGCTTTTATAAAGCACTAACTCTGATGAATGCTTTGACCAAACACAGCACTCTCTATATACCCTGCAGTCAATCTTACCCTGACTTTCACCCCACCCTGATCCTAAACTCACTCTTCGGTTACCTGATGCTGAAGCTTCCAGCACAGAGCACATCTTTTACTCCAAATTATTAGTATTGTACTTTGCTTTAGTATGCTTCCAGAAACAACATTGAATCCCCTTACTAATCTACACCTTATTTATTATAATCTTACCTGAGTGTGTATTACAGTATTCATTTCTTCAGGCTACTCATTTCATATCCACTCAGTCCCTATTAATTCTCTCACCTCCTTCACTTTTTTGCTTGATCACCTTTGCTTGCTACTGTTTCTCTGTTAGACTCCTCCTTCCTTGTTCATAGAGAATAATTTATTCTCAATCTCTATTTCTCATCAAACTGGTTTTCTATTTCTTCTTTTTATGTAACATATAAGCAAAACAACCCATGCCAGGGCTTCCCCAGGCTGTTCAGCCCATGGTCTTGTTTATTTGGGCACAGGTCTTCATTCACTGTCAGTGTCTGTGGAACTTTTCAGTCTTTATGCTTCCCCTCCTCATGGATCCATCAAGCATTCTATTGCATGATACCATTTCCCAGGTGAATTAATATCCACTATCCTGGTGTCAGTTCTCACTTCTATCTTACCATTGCCTTTCCTTTATGATGCATAACGTATTCCTGACCAAATCCTATCAAACACCTGATATCTTCTGTATAAAAAAATATTATTCTCTCAGATAAATTCCTAGAATTTCTTAGCTGAATTAAAGCTTTCCTTTCTTTGCCTTATAATAAGTGAATTAATTTAACTGAAATCTTACAAATTAAAACTCCATTGTCCAAGTAAAAACATATTAGGTGAAATTCCACAGAAAATAATTGCTTTTTAATTGCATTAGGATTTTGTTTTCATTCTTACATATCACAGCTTACCACACCAACAAATAAATAGGTGATGCTGCAGACTGTTGATAATATAGATAATATTTGCCATATTTAATAACATTAAAATTTCCATAAAAGTCTTTATTCTAAACTAAAAAGAAACATGGAGCTGACAATTACCAAGCAGTAAAAGGAAATTTTTTACAGAGCCTCAGAAATGAGATAGCAAATTTAATGACTTTTTTCTTGTTTTGATAGATTTTTAATTATATCATAGGTATTTTGTCTTTTTTAACATGATTTTTGAGGCATATGTTTGTAATAATAGTAAGAATAAGCATAATCAGAAGGAAATGACTGAAACTATAACAATAAAAAGTAATAAAAATAATCAGGTTAAATTAGTTTATATGCCTAAAATTTTCTAGTGCTATAACTAAATAAGCACTGGAAAATGCCATTAAATCAACATTTACATATGTATACATTGATGTTGATGTGGTTCAAATGTGTCCCCATCTTATTCCTTAGCAAATACCATCATTTTAATCTCCTAGCAGACCTTCATTACTGAAAGACTTAAATTATTTTAAGAGTTCTCCATATATAAATTGAAGGTGAATGTTTTTAAAAAATGATATAATAAAAACTGTTCTCAAAATACTTTATCATTAAAAGTAATATCCACCCAACTCAATGGCAATATCATCACAAGTAAAAGCATTCTCGAGAATCTTACTGCTCTTTGTCTTCTAGAACTTGATTTTATTTCTTTAGACAGCTGTTAAATGCTGTACTGCAAAAGCAAAAGGTAGCATATGCCAAATATCTGGCAGGAAAGCATCAGGAAATAAAGCTCCTCAATTGCTTTCAAGACAATCAATTATCTAGAACAGTGTAGCAAAAAGAGCTTGTAGAGGAAAAAGTGCATAGATAATTGGAAAAAGCTTGAGCTTTCCAGAAAGAAAGGTTAGAAAAGGTTAACCATCAAAAAAGTTAAGGATGTTGTCTGAAGCTAATTCCTACATAGTCAATAGAGATAAACCTCTCTGAGAAGTGTCCAAAATATGAAAAGGTAAGTAGATCTGCAAGTACCTAGTGCTCTTGTAAAGTATAAGGGCACGCTTTAAAAAAGATAAATTTTGGATAAATGTATTACATATTAATGCCACAGAAAGAGATAGATGCTTGAAACCTGTTAAAGACTAGAAACTTAAGCATTAAATGAAGGTTGTGGTCAATTTATATTTTGCCTGTTACAAGGCTTCCATGCAGCCAGTAATGAAATAAAGCTAAAAAACATTTAAAAACCCCATTGCCAGAAAAGCTTATAGCAGGAAAAAAAAGCAGCTATTCTTGAGAAAAAGTACTTAAATACTGAATAAATATTATTTAAACTTCAGAACTTAAATACTGAATGCAATTTCATTTAGGTACAGGGGCAACTTTAAATGAAATGAGAAGACACCTGTGTGAACCAGCAAAGAGTCAGAGACTTTTTCTGGGTACAGGTCTGTCACCTTCATTTTGCATTCCAGAACTCATTATAGCTTTTCTTTAAATATGTGATAAAGACAAGACTTTAAAGTACAAGGGGTGAAAACAGTGGTGAGATTGACTTGAAATAACACATTGAATCATTTAATGGTTTGGGTTGGAAACAACCTTTAGAATCATCTAGTTCCAGCTGCCCCCTGTGTGCAGAGACACCTTTCACTAGAAGAGGTTGTTCAGAGCTACATCCAGCCTGGCCTTGAACACATTCGGAGACGAATATTTGATCAAGTCATCAACTTTGAAATCTTGTTAGATATTGATTGTAATGAAATTTTAAAAAGCCTTTTCATCTCAACTGATTAGCCAGATCATTTCATCCCAGTGGAAACCATACAGACAGTGTTATGTTTCACACCAGTTCAGTTTTCTCCCATGTTCTGGACAAACAGTTTCTTAGATGAAACATTTAATTCATAGATTGCTAACATAAGCCAACACATCAGTCTTTTAAAGGAAGAAAGAAGTAAAAAACTTTTTCTATGAAACACCTTTTGAAGAAATGGATTATTCTGTCCCATATTCTTAATTTTTCAACCCAATTATTGTCACCATTTCCTTTGAACCTTTGGAAGGACTGCCTTTTATCATGCATAGTCCATTGGAGTGATGAAATGAGATAATTCAGCTTCTCATTATGGAAGTGATGTTCTTTTAAATAGCTGAGTTTTAGCCATCAAAAAATGTTTTTGTCAAATAGTCTTGATACACCATGGTAGCATCTTTATCCCAGTCTCATTCTGTGGAAACCTTTCTTTAAATATGATATCAGCAAAATCATCATAACACCAATATGTGAGCTTCAATAAAGCTCATGATTTAAAATATAATTTCTGGCCTTGGGTAATAGCTGGCTTTAATTATGCCACATTTTTACTAATTTCAAATTGTTTCTTGTGTTGTGCATCCACACAGAGCACAAAGACTGAAAACCTATATAAATGTTTTACAATTTCATTATTTTAAGCTAAAATTAATGATTCAAAAACAAAGGCCCAATTGACTCCTTTATTTTTCAATAACAGAGTAATTATTCAGTTTCCTGAAGAAGATGTTTATGTCCCAAGGAGTAGTAATAGTCTTAAAGATCTCAATATTTATTCTCTTAATGAAAAATTCACCACTACCTTAATGAGTGCAGCTGCTTTAAAGTGAAAAATGTAAGATAGTTTTCCAAGCTTGCAACTATCAAATGTTTCCTAATATTTTTACATTATTTATAAAATTAATATGCAGATATGCTTATCTCTTTCTTTTGTTTTTAAATGCTTCAATCACTCTGTTCTAAGAGTAGTTCCTCTTGATCTCTTTTTAGCTGTTCTCACTTGAAACTACGATAGCCACCTTCAAATATGGGCTCTGAAGAAAAAGGTCTTACTGAGAAAGAAATCCTATTAAAATATGCTACAAAACTAATAACTCTTTAAGGAGGACATATAATGGAGGAAAGGGAATTTTAAAGCTCATCTCAGAGACACAGTGCTAAATACGGATATGTTTTCTACTGGCAATTCAAGACTGTCTCTGTGACCACCTTTCTAAAAACTTCTGTAATTCTATTACTCTGTTTTCTAGCCTACAGCTATGAACTGTGGTTAGATTTTAAGAAAATGTAAGTCAGAATACTTTTTTAGGCTGTATTGAGTTATGCTGTGCCTATCACAGCGACAGCTGATTGATATATGTTACCTGAAATAAATAGACTAGATCAGCATCTATTTTTTTTTGGATGTGCATGTTGCACATATAAAAGCACTTCTACTGTCTGTAAAGCATCCATTATTGTCTTTTGTTTTTCACACATAAAAGTCAACCTCAATCCAAACCAAACTTTCTAAATTGATGTCTTGGCAAGGATCTTTTGCAAGCTACAGTCTTCATGGAGAACAGCCCTTCCTTCACTGATACTTGTTTCCCATATCATTTGAGCTCTATGCTTCATGCCCTTCCCAAATAATTTGCACTTGAAGTCCACTTACATCCCCGTTCTTCCTTTTTACTTAATCTCCTAGGAGGTACTCATTGTTCTGATGCTCCATTTAGCTGGCCATCTACCCAACCTCTAACCATGCTCTTACCTTGGCCCTGTGGGTTGCAGTATATGAATTTTCTATTACTTTGGCCTGTTTTTAAACCACAAGACCTTTACTCCTCCTATTTCTTTTCCTCTGTGGTTGAGGCATCAGTTCACACATCAGTTCTTATGGTGAACATTGTCTTCAAAATAAACCCAGTGTAGATTTAACCATGCAAAATGACTAGAAGGTCATGTTACTTTTCTCTCAATAAATAGATTCAATTGAATATTTTAGTGTAATACAAAGAGGTATTTCATCCTCCTATTTTAGCTCTAAATTATTCTTGAAGAAATACAGAATATAGAAAAAGTATGCAGAAAAAAAATGTAGACAGTAGTAAAAATTTTTTGCAATTTTTTTTACCTTAGATATAAAAAAAAAAAAAAAAAAAAAAAAGACACAGTCCTTTGTAGGCTAATCTGCAAATTTGCATCTGGTTCAGGTGAATAAAGTAATGAATGTCACAAAGTACAAGACCAAGCTGAGAGAGATTCCATTTTTTCATATATTGATACACTGATGCTGGAATCAAGGGCTTCAATTACCAAACATCAAAAGTATAAACTAATCCTAAAATGATGAAGAATTAGATCCACTATACAGCTACTTAGCTCTGAAGTGTTCTTCAGCCTTGCCATTATGCATCTTAATAGAGGACACAGGTTACATATCATCTGCTACCACCTTAACTAAACCTCTGAAAATACAACAAATTAATGTGTTGTCTCTGAGAGGTGTTTCTATGAGTTACCTTTGTCTTGGCAGCTGAAAGAGGAAAAAGATTATTTCAGAGGAAAGAATCGTTCTTAAATGCTAACCACTTATTATTAGAATAAAATGGGACACATTTCACAAATGCATTTTCCCTTTCTCTCCATGTTAAAAAAAATAAACCGCTGAGTTGTTTTCCAGATCACAGAATGTAACTTGGTAATTGGTTAAATATACTTTAATATCTGGTTCCAAGCTAAATTTTATATCCTGCAAAGTGTCAGCCTAGAAATAGCTAGCTGCTTGTTTAGAGCTAGTGAGACTTGTCACATTTAAATAGATCCTTTTCCTTTTCAGCCACATAATTCAATTAATAACTCCCATTTCTAGGAGCTATAAATGAAATATGCTTGCTTGGTTGTTTTTTCTTTCACTTTAGTACAGATGTTAAAACTCTAAGTGTTCACTTTGAATTAGTTTTCTATGCAAACTGCGTTAACATTCAATGCAGAAAATCTGGAGTTACTGCAATTGGCCACAACTTGCTTAGAATAAAAAGGAACTAATCAATCAGAAAACTCATTCTCCTCTCTATGATAAGGCAAGCTGTTTGCATACATTCAAAGTGGATATGCTCCACCTGTTTGTTCAATGAAATGCACTGGATTTAAGTGGCAATTAAAACTCACGGCTCTTGCCTCAACATCAGCTGCCAGGAAATGCCACACCCATATGAAATTTTTGCTTAATTAACAAAGGAAAAAATGTTCTATGAGTACTTAACACATGGTTATTTTGCATTAAGGGCTTTATATTTCCTTTTTTAATGGGAACAAAGCCATTCAATTTTATGATTTTCCTCACTTATGAAGCACTCATAAATATGAACTTGATCCTAGAAGATGCTGAGCATCTGGCCCAGGTCCAGAAAAGCACTTCGGTACATTTTTAAAGTATGAAACTAATCTTAGGGTTTAAGTGACATTATCCCAGCTGCCAGTGTGGTTTCATGAATTTGTAGGACTGCACAGGAAGCATAAGTCTTTGCAAAAAATAATTTCTGCCCTTTCGTTCAGTTCACTGCAGACATAGTAGAATTCTGATGCTTTCCATAACCTGGAAGACTGCTCCTTTGCTTTTATGATTATCTTTTATTCTTTAAGCGGTGAGATGCTGGCCATATTTTTAGCTGTGATATGATAAGTATTGTCAGGTACAACAGAAAATTGTGTGAAACCATGTGTTTCTTGAAATAACTGACAAATATGCCAGAGCATACTGATTGCATGATGAGAAATATACAGAAGACATGACAGTTCTGATTTACTCCTAGTCATTGTTCATATTCCAGTGAAAACTGGGTTAATTTCATAATCCTTATCACATCACAGCTTACAGAATCCTTACAGAAAACTGTCTTAAGAGCAGTTCCACTCCTTCATAAAGAGTATGATGAGAGAGAACTTAGGTGTATAATTGAGCACAAACCTAAGGATGCCCATGGACTGCACCATCTGTACTTCCTTTTTTCACTACAGCATTTGATCCACATGATCCACAGTCCTTCAAAGTCAATAGTTTTGGTAGGCTTCAAGACTATATGAATTGTTTCACTGGCCAAGAGCTAGAGTCAGTCTAACCTAACATTATTTTTCCAGCGGTGAACCAAAGCAAATATGTAGACAGGAAGACTAGGAACAGAAGAAAGTTATATAACCATGCCCTGTAATATCTGTTGAAGATCAAACTATTTTCACATGAAAGAATTTCTCAGCTCAAGTATGGTAGGTCTCTTTAGCAACCCACAGCTTACCCTTTCAATCTTTTCTGTAGCTTCCCTAAAACCATCTAAACTTGTTAAATCCAGAGCATGCTCTAGCAAAAATCTGTTAAAAAAAAAAAGAAATCTTTTAATATTTTTAACCTGGTCCCTATTGGCTAGAAATTTTTTGAGTCTCTGAATCTGACAAGTGTGATCATCACAGTGTTGAGAAGATTTTTATCTCAATCCACTCTCTTCATGCCAAAAATCTTATTCTACTGAAATTTTTTTTTCATAATCTCTCTATGTTGTCTTTTTCCAGGTCACCTTATTGTAATCCTAAACCACTCCTTTGAAGGAGGAAACAATAAGGTTTTCCATGGTGAGTTTTTCAGTTAACTAGTTTTCTAAAGAGCTTGTTATTTGAAGTGCTACACTAATTACTATGTAATAATTGATTTTTAACAACTGATCATGTCAAAGCTTTACACTGAAATTTATCTGTCCCAAAAGCTTAAATTCCTTGTCTTCCCTCACCTGTGGCATTCATGGAACTGTTGCATTAATTGCACTCTATAGAAGCTGATCCATTTAATATGAACTGAAAAATATTTTCCTCAGAGTTGGATCAGATCCAAACCAGTTGTTTTCGTTGGGTTTTTTGTTTGTTTGTTTTTTGGGGTTTTTTTTTGTCATATTCATGACTTAAAAAAATTGGTTTGAAAATGGTTAGATGAGAAGGTAACAAAAAATATACGTAGTATTATCTCTCTCAGGGACTCTAACACAAGCCAGTTATTGAAAGATGGAAGGAAGATGACTATTTTAGTTTTTTAACTTCAAAAATCATGTGTGAATCAGTTTAAAATATCCAAAGTTCTATAGCATGAACCTGAATTCAAAGCTTTTGAGAACAAACAATAATTGTGACCATTTTTTTCCAGAAAATATATTGTAGTTCATTCATGAATTAATTTGCCTAGGGGGGAGATAAATCTTTCCAATAAAACCAGGTATTACAGTGAACTATTTCTATCATGTTAGTGTAAAACTTCAACAGATGGTATGCTTTAGAAGAACATGGATTAATTTTATTTTCCTGTGAATTCTTTTATAAAAAAAAAAAAGGTATGTGCAAAGAATATCATAGCTGTAATTGGTCTAGTCAAAGAAAATTTTATAGCAAACTAGAGATTTAAAAATTATAATTTTGATTTATAATAAAATTGGTTCAGGTCTCTTTAGGAAGCAACAAGTAAGGGTAAAAGAGTTTCATCTTCCAATTCTTCTAAAAAGAAATTTCAGCCCACAAAAGAAGATAAATCACAAATATAAATTAAAAATAATTTAGAATATATAGCTTTTTATTCCCTCACAATGGAATTTGCATAAATATTGTGTAAAAATAAATACCAGTGGTCAGATACAGTACTCTGATCATTAACTGAACAAAGACTAAAACCATCCTATCAGCTCTTTAACCTAACCTATAATTAAGTTTTCATTCCACACCATTAGTTCTTATTTACAAGAAAATGAATCAAAAACTGCTCACTCTTACAGGCACAACCCCAAAACTTGGTGATTGGTTAATGAATGGCTTATGCTGCTTTTTTAATAGGTAATCTGTGGGACTATAGTTAACAAGATGTGACTGAACCACTGCAAAAGCTGTGGTTCAGTGCTGCAGGAACTGGCAGATTCTCTTTATTGAGGCTTTGTGATGTCAGATCTGTACTGGGATGAGGCTGACAAAGACTCTCACTGTTTCTTAAGAGAAAGAAAAAGCAGAATATTGATAATATTTTGAAATTAAAACAAAAATCCTAATTAAACTATTTGATAAGAGGGTTGAATACATCGACTCTCTAACACATTTCACTTATCTAAAGTCTTTCCATTATTTACTTTGTGTCTGGTGCCCCTGTCCACTGCTCTGTTGTCATGCAGAATAACTCCAGTAATGCAACTGTGCCACTCTTGCATTCTAGGTTGAATGATGATGATCAGTGAAGACTGAATTGGCGAGAATGATCTCTAAATACAGGTATTGTATTTGATGAAAGATATATGGTGGAAATAGTTGGTGACATAAATAATCAGTGTTTTCATGTGTAACTTGAAACTGCAATTAGAATATGATAATATAAAAAGAAAAAAATAAAAAGAAGAAAGTAGTACTGAGTGACAACATGTATATGCAATGCTATTCTAGTAGTTAAACTGGATCATGAATTCTTTTCCTTTGATTCAAGATGTCAATTTTTCCATTATGCCCCAAGGGTCTCTAAACTATGATGATTCCAGCTGATTGCAAATTCAATATCAAAATCAATACCAATATCAAAAACATTTGGACTTCTTTTCATTAGTCTTATAACCCAGTTCATTATAACATTTTAGTTCAGTGTTATATCAGCACAAGCCACAGTGCTGCAGATGCGCAACAACAGTGGATATAAGTGACAGAGGTAGGCAAGGTCTAAATCTATCAATCACACAATCGAAATGTAAATGCACCATGCCAACTACACTAATCTGTACTCTCCCCACATGGTATACTAATACTTGTCTTTATATTCTTAGTTTTTACATTCTAACTTTATTGTCATTCTCTTCACTATATTCAATCTATTCTTCACTTTCAGTGTCTTCCCTATTTTCTGACTCTTCTTTGTATTCATTGCAATGTGTGTTCCATCCATGGAATCTAAAATACAGTATTTCTTTAAAACATTAGCTGCAAGTTCTGGATTTATCTGATCTGAAGGTCTCGAAATGACAGGGTAGTTTTTCTCTACCCTGTATTTTTTCCTGTAGGAACGGAAGCATGTTCCCTGCCAAAAGCCATTCTGAGCAAGAGTTTACCCAGTCTTTAAAGGGCATTTTCTCTGCTATGTATAAAGTTTTGATGTCATTCCTCTTGATATAATTACAATATCAATATTCATTTTCTTGGCCGTATTCTTCACAGCTGGCATTAGATGACCTCGTAATTCACCTAGGACAATTATTCTTCCTTTTCTTAACAGCACACCTGGTCTTCTGCTCCAAATATTGTTCAGTCAGTCCTTCATTAAATCTGTAGATATCTATCCTTGAATTTGACACGTCACAATTATTCCAGTAGCCAGTTATTCATTCAGCATTGCTTTGTGCTTCCATATCACAGACAGAAGCAATACTAGGCCATCCCTCAACACTGCCAACATTACTGTATCAAGCATTTCTTCATTCACCAAAGCTTTGATAGTGGTAGATTTTGTACTTACTTTTTCAATGATACAGTGGATGTTAGATAAAAGTAAATAAGTTTTCTTATTTGGTTCAACAGATAACAAAGTAAAAGGACTGAGGATCTTTCCAATAGACAAAAAAAAAAAAAACTTTCTGGTATAATTTGAAAACAACACTCCTAACTGCTCTTGACTTCTTTCTGTGAAAAGTTTTGTACTTTTGCTAGCTCTTGATCTTTCTGTTTAACCATTTTTCATGTATTCAGATTTTCATTTCTTTGACTATGCACAAATTATACAACTTTGTTCTCACTCTCTATGGCAGTATCCTCTTATGGGTCCAATTCGGTTGATTTAGTACATAAAACCTTTCATTTTGATTGTTTCAAAGGTAGGTTCTCACATTTTTTTCTATCATTACATTTATTCTAAGCCTTACATCATACCACCCTTAGTTGAAAATTTGCATCATATCACCTTCTTATACCTTTTAGTATATTCCCTTCTGCTCTTGTAGCTCTCATCTCAGGAACAATTGTCATATCACTATTCAAATATAAGATTCAGGGAGATTTATAAAACTGCCATAAATGCCAGAGGAACTGCCTGAGGTAGAGCAGGGCATCCAGCTGGACCAGTGAAGAATGAGGAAAGCAACAATCACAGGTTCACTCTATCCCACCATCTTCATCTGGGCACATGTGATATCCATCAAGTCAAAGCATAATTAGCACCTTGATAAGGAAAATTTAGATTATAAATACTTTACTGCAGTCCAGTTCCTGAAATTTGAATGACAGGTTTCCTAATGACTTTAGTACCAGGAAAAAGAAAATGAAGCCTACCTTTGTGGTCCTTGGATTGAATAGAAGAAACTGTAAATTGCCTGGTAATAGGTGACATAAATTGGAGCTGCAACATATGTTGGAGTTGATAGGTACAAAGTACTCATTAGCCTTATTAAGAATTTCAGTCCTGCCTCCTAGATGCTATGATACTTATTTGAACTTGAATATATGGTCTACTCTCTATACCAATATGATAGACAGCCTTTGGAGATTCCTCTGTTTCTTTTGTCCTTCCAAAGAAAAGGAAGGTACAGAAAAAGACAACATTAAAAGTTGTTACTGGACATTAATAGTAATATGAAATATAAAGCTCTGCTGGGTCTGCTGCTGGATAATTCTGTATTTATTGACTTGATATCTGATGTATAGTCTCTGTTTTGAATAACTGTTAATAATATAGGCTTTGAAAGAATGAACTGTCAAAACAGAAAATGTTTCACTGTTTTGGAAAGACAGACCTCAACTTTGTTTTTTTTTGTTTAAAACTCCAGTCCTTCTTTTCTCTTTTTTTTTTTTTTTTTTTTTTTTTTTTAAGGTGAGAAAGTGACATCAATGGCAGCTAATACCTAATGTGTCAAGGTTTCCAAGTAGCAGGTAGATGTGTCAGTGAAGGCTGTTGCTATGAGAGCAATGCAGTAGGTTATAGTTTCAAGTACCTGGAAAAAATTTTGCACTGGCTGTCTGTCTCAAACCAGTGAAAATTCATGTAGTCAAACAAAGAATACAGTACATCCTTAAGATACAAGTCTGATAGTTTGGATCACTTTAAATCTTATAAACAGTGAAATAATTAACATATCCAGTTGCAATTTCCAGAAAAAACATTCTGATGGAAAAATTACTTGAAAATATTATTTTCTGTGAAGTTGCTTGGATTAAATAGTTGCTATAAGCAAAATTGCTGTATCAGTTTTGAAAGATGAGAATTTGACTGAAAAGAATAACAAGGTGACAGAATCAAATGACCGTGGAATTTATTAGGACTAATCACTAATTTCTGACAATGACTTTCCTGATTCTTAACTTACCCTCGGCCACATTAGGGGAGTTTTGCAGTGGTCTGCAGGGGACAAGATAGTGGAAAATATCTTCAATAATGCTTTTCTTCATGGAATAAAGTGTTTCAATATAAAATCTGATGCAAATGTTTGAAAGCACTTTGGAGGATAGGATTAGAATTCACAGCAGTCTTGATAGACCAGAGAAACAGATTTAATTCATTAAGTTAAAATTCAGTAAGGACTAAAGACAAGCATAAATTACTATATGCAGGAATTAAGGCAGTAGGTCCTTCTAGGGGACCATTGGCCTCTTGCTGGATGCCTATGAGCAAGAGGATTCCTTTATCTTTCTGATAAGGAAAGGCAACATAAACTATGTTGGACTCTTTGTTAAGAGCTTTCTAACTATAAAGAAAGAGCTCATATGTGTCCAATATGGCCATGATGGTTTTAGATACATCCAGGCTTGAACTGCATGTGAAATTAGATTTGATTATAATTAATTAATTAATTAAAATCCACCTTAAATTGGATTCTTATGAGTGTGCCAGAGACAACCACCTATGATCCATTCATGAAGCAGCTAAATTTGACAAACTAGATCTTTGCTATGTATCTGGACAAGAATGTTCTCTGCATACAGAAATGACATTCACTATAGTGCAGGCTTGAATTTTCACAAGATTTAAATTTATTGAATGCCAAGCCACATTTGAATCGAGTAATAGTTGTCCTAGTCTTTATAAAAACTAAAAATGATGCATACTACCTAAAAAATACAGGAGAGTATGCATTTTAGAAGGCACGCTAAAAGTTTATTCCAATGCACTGTGAGTATGCATGTCTGCTTTCTGTAAAATGTATCACCAAGGGAATGGAGTAAAAAAGAAAAACCAGAAATAATATCCACAAAGTTTTGATTGAAATCTAGTAAATTCAATGCATATCATCCTTGCAAGACACTGTCTACATACCTATAACATTGGGATATTTTCTTTCTATTCCCTGAGTTCCTCCCTAACATCTTGCTGGAAATATTAATCATTGCCCTTTCTGAATATTGCAAACTTCACTTGCTTAAAAAAAATACATCTAAAATTACATGAATTCATAAGATTAAAATACTTTGGAAAAAATATAGTATAATCAAAACTTTTATGGATGAAACCCAAGCTTTCAGGACTTTCCCCATTTTAAAAATGAGAATGACTGGAGGGAGCACTCCATAGTTTGGTTCAGACATTTATTTGTCTGCGCTTTTTGCAAGACTTATTCAAGTCTCAGTTTGCCTAATTCAGAGAAATTGTACTCTTGAATTTTTCATGGTTTAGAGCATTTCATTTGTTTAAGCTTTGGGTAATGGTTTACTTTTTTCATCATTATATTTCCTTCTCTCTGTTTTCAATATGCATGTCTGCAAAGCAGGATAGTTATAATAAAAAGAAGACCAAAACACAAGCCTACAATTTAGCTTTAAAAACATAAGCCTACAAACAAAATCTACCTGGTAACACTAGTACATTTGCATATCTTTCTTCTGATAAATAATTTCTCAGTATTAAGGGAGAGGAATTAAAGAAAAAATAAATTTCATAAATAGGAAAAACTAAATTTATCTAAAGTAAGGTCAGTATTAGCCCAGTAAGTAGCTACCTCTGTAGACAGTGCTTGTTTCACCTCTTCTAAAGAAGGTGGGAACTAGTTCCTTTAGCAGTGAGCATAGCCCAGACCATCACCTGTTGCCTCTTCCTTGCAGTATTCTCTGTTGTTGATAAGGTTGATCTTGAGGGACCCACAAGCTTCAAAAACAGTGGCTGTTCTCTTCCATTGTCTCATCATCAACCCTTGGCTTGCCTAAGGTAACAGCACACCCACCCTGCTCCCCAACCTCCACCATGCTTACCTAATACTAATCACTAACATCAGACACAAACAGAAAAAAAAGACCCTTTTTTGTATATATAGCCCAAATACAGCCTTATTCACTTTTTCTGGCACCCTCAACTGATCTCACTTCTTGGAAAATCTGACTGACCAAATGGGTAGCCTTGTTTTTCTACTTTCCTATGCTATCTAATGGTATTTGTGACACTGACACTGGTCATAAGACCCCAACCCTTTACTCACTCCCCTCCCAGTGACTAGGGTAAAGTTTTGGAAGGGCAAAAATCAGAAAAATTCTTGGGTAAAGATTAAGGCAGCTTAATAGTGAACTAAAATGTGTGCATAAACAAAGCAAATTAACAATTTTTCTTG